ACCATCGCAACTGACAACTGTGATGGGCAGCCTCTATTATGGTCGCAAAGCATAAAATATTCAAGCTGTGACTAAAGAATCTGTTTGCAAGGAAACCATTTTAGTTACAGCATAGCAGATCAAACCTTTGGCAAAATCATTTTTCTTTGATGAGCTGCATCCCACAAGCCATCTTTATGTAAACAAAGTTCTTCCACTACTTCTGGTTACTGATGATGGGTTACTTTTGTATTGACGGGGACAATTTTTATTTTTTTTAGGCAAATTCCTTTTTTCCCCTCTAATGAATTGCACAATTAAATTCCAGATGGAACAAGCTATACAAAGCGGTTGTGTGAATTGACCACATAAGTTGGAAAGAGCTTATGGCTGATCTTCAAACAGACTTTATTACCTTATTTCAAAATGAAGAAAAGCCCAGCCAAGACTATCTGTTCTCAATCCTCAAATGCCCTCTGGACAGAAATATGGGATATAATAAATCATAATAAAACTTTAAATAACCATCTCACTGAATCCAAGCTGAATGCAATGGGGAATTAATCAGGCTACAGGGGAAAAATAGTTTTTCTTCCATCTGAAATCCTGGAAAGCTTTTGCTATTGTGAAGGACTAATGCTCAGTTCCATACACCAGTATGGAAGACCCTCACTTCAGGAAAAAGAAATAATTGTGGTTCCAAGCTGGTTTGCTCAGACAACCATTGCTAAAGCTAACTACTAGCCAGTTTCATCTAGTGGTTAAAATGCTAGGAGGAGGTGAGTTCTAGTCCTGCCTTAGACATGAAACCCATCTAGCTGACTTTGAGTCAATCACCAGGAGATGGTGAGTTCTAGTCCTGCCTTAGTTGTGAAAGCTGGCTGGGTGACTTTGGGCCATTCACTCTCTCAGGCCAAAGGGTTGCTTTTATGAGGAAAACAGGAGGAAGAAGTACAAGTAGTCCTCAACTTTAGTGACCATTCAAAGTTACAACAACACTGAAAAAAGTACCCTATGATCATTTTTCACACTTATGACTGTTGCAGAATCCCCATCACGTGATTTACATTCAGATGCTTGATATCTGACTCACATTTATGACGGTTGTAGTGTGCCAGAATCATGTGATCCCCTTTTGTGATCTTCTGACAAGCAAAGTCCATAGGGAAACCAGGTTGACTTAACAACCGTGTTACTAATTTAAAAACTGCAGTGATTCACTTAACAAATGTTGTAAAATGGGACAAAATATGCTTAACAAATTTAACATAAATTTTGGGTTCAATTGTGGTCGTACGTTGAGGACTACCTATATTATGTGTGTTCACTGCCTTGAGTAAAAAGATAAACAAACGAACAAACAAACAAATAATTTGGTTAGTTAGTTAGTTAGTTAGTTAGTTAGTTAGTTAGTTAGTTAGTATCAGAGCACAGTAACCAATTTTTTGGTTAGAAGAAACAAAAAAAAATTCAATGCTTGTGATCTGATCTGATCAGGGACTGGGAAGAAAATAGATTTGAGCTTTGTCTTGCAGCTTTAATGGTGAATAAAACCACAACCTGATGGAGCAGCCGTTGGTCTTCTTGGAGTTTCCCCTCCAACTCTCCCCAATACAACATCTGGAAAAATGTACCCTAGGAGGAATTGCCATCTAGTGGAATCTTCAGGCATTGTCTTGTACACAGCCCGTTCTATTCCCCTTGGCATCCAAAAAATGGAGGGGGGGGGGAATGATAATTGGAACCATCCCTAGAAAAATCCCACCCAATTAAATTGACAGCATTTTTGAAATAGTTCTGTCTCCAAAGGAAACCGAACTGAACTCTGAAGCAGTTCAACTATAGGCTGAAGGATTCCCTAGACCCTCCCTCACCCATTGCAGCCAAGGGAAGCAGCTTTTCTGCTCTGGGTTCATCAAACTTTCTGGCTTAGGGGGCAGCATGCATGTCTACAGACCGAGAGGCAACCAGTTAGGCAGACCGTCAGCACCTCACTTAAATATGGTCCGGCTTGTGTTTTACTCCACATTTTTGATGTGGAGAAGTTCTGCTAGGAGGTCATCAACCAGAGAAGGTTCCCCTTCAGCGATGTTTCTCAAGCTTGGCAATTTTAAGGTGTGTGGACACAAAGTTGTCAAGCTTGAGAAATATTGTCCTTCAGGAAGACATTTAACAAGAAAATCCTTTTCCAACAACGTTATGAACAATCTAGACATATATGGAGAACATTCATATCTAAGCTTGTTCAACAGTTTCCATATCTGAAAGAGCCATCCCAGATTAACCTCCAGAGACCTATTCCCTTCCTGGCTTCAAAGCAGCTTTCCAGAGAAGTTCATGTGCATGTTCTGGTTGGTAACCATTGCATGTTAATGATTTATAATGAAATCAGCTATGGGTCATTAACAGTATATTTGCTCCCCCTGTCATATCATGGCCCCATCATCTTCCATGGAAGAACCTGGTGGTCCCATGCGCACAACATACTATTGAGGTCTCGCCTTGGTTGTCTTGTGCTCAAGCGTATTTGGTGGACACGGCCTATTCAATTTCAGTTCCGATGGATTGTGCAAATTTAGGAAATGGGTTGCTTCAATAGCTGAATGTTGACAAAGCACCAGCTTGACTTTTTTGCCAAGCCTTACAGACACACCTAACTGTCTGGGGATGGGGGTGGATTTTACCCCCAGTATATATAAATGGGAAAACATTCAGATAGTATATTAACATAGATTCTTTTGTGTCTTGCCAAGTTCCATCTCTTTTTTTCTCTCTCCCTCCCTCCGCCCCCCTCCTCTCTCACCTAATATTCCTTTCTATAACAACAACAATCCTGTAAAGTGAATTGGATTGAGAGAGAGAGAGAGTGATTGCCTCAAAGTCATTCAGATGGCTTTCATCACTACGGCAGAACTAGAACTCATCATCTCCTGGTTCCTAGCACGATTCTTTAACCACAACACCAAACCATCTATACCATTTTAAATTATAAATAATAACATAACATAACATAACATAACATAACATAACATAACATAACGTAACGTAACGTAACGATAACATAACATAACATAACATAACATAACATAACATAACATAACATAACATAACATAACATAACATAACATAACATAATCCCCAACCTAGTGATGCAAATTAGGACTAGAGAGAGAATATGTGCCAGTGTGTTTGACCTACAAAAGGTCCAAATTTCCAGCTAAAAGGAACAGAGAGCAGAAGGGGCATCTCCGTAGCTGGCATCACCAGCCTAAGAACATACAGCAGGTGGTGCCTCCAGAGAGGTACAATATTAGGAGAAGGCGTCAAATAGTCTGGACCGAAATAAGGCAGTTATGATTTTAAAAAGGCAAGAAATTCCAACTTCAATTTTGGGATTAATCATTCTGTTTGAGTGACATATATTTTTTAAACAGTATATTGTGACAGTCAACCCAGTAACGCAACCTTCTTCAGGAACCAATGGACAAAATAAGGATAGCATACAGAGAAAATTTCATATGAGCTGAAAAGAGGAAGATCAGCAATAGATAGTAACTTTTTTGGAAAGAGAAAAAACAAAAGGGTTTGGGGTGCAACAAAACAACCAAACTAGGAATCCTTACTTTCTTTTGCAGAATATTAGAAAGAAAACTTCACCTATATCAAGTGTAGAATTCATCTCGGCTAAGATATCAATTGACAACCTCTTTCAAAATTTTAGGTTCCCTGGATTGGTCTCCTATCAAGTCAAATCTAGGTCCTTCCAACTTCATATTTGCAGATAGCACAATTTTCAAACTTATAGGCAGAGTTTCAGCATCAGGGGATAGTTGGACTTTGAACCTTGATCCCTCAGCTACCCACATGTGAAAGCTACTTTCTATAGCTTTCATTGTCCTATGATAATGGACTCTTCTCATTGACAAATACCTCTCCAAGGTTCCAGGTAGAACCAGGCCCTAACAAGACTTCCAAAGTTCTCCACTCAGTTTGTGAGAAGAGAAATTTGGGTGGATGAATTTCTCTGTTTAGTCAAGAGATCTCTTAGAAATTCTCAAGAACAAAATTCTCGAGTGGCAAATTCCTTTCTGAAATCTTCTCTTGAGATTGAAGGAAAGTAGAAGACCACCAGCCTTGAGATTGTTCCCAATTCTCCTAAATAACTGTCAGATGACCACGCATCATATATTTTGGTTTCCTCCAAAATTCTACCCTCCTTTCCGAAAAACTTGGAAAGCAAAGTGCCTTTTAGTCAGATTGAGTGAGAATTAGTAAGGGAAAATAAAACATCTTTCCTTTACCCGTTTTCTATTTTTTATGCTTAAACAAATATGCCAAGGATTACCTTGGTCCCTTCTCTGGGCAAAGGGATGCTCTACAGTGGACTTATTCATGCATTTGTGAACAAATCCCAAAACTCTGGATTCATAAAAGCACGAGCAACAGTAGGAAAGACAAACATACTGAATAGTTAGTTTATCTAGTAATCTCACTGATGGCATATAGCAAGGGTGTCCAACCTTGGCAACTTTAAGACTTGGGGACTTCAACTCCCAGAATTCCCCAGCCATCCATGCCGACTGGGGAATTCTAGGAGTTGAAGTCCACAAGTCTTAAAGTTGCCAAGGTTGGTCATCCTTGGTATATAGTTTGATTCCTGGGCATGCTTTAAGTCAGAGCTGGAAAATAGAGGCCACACTAGGAAAGTGCCTTCAGCAAGGCATTAAGTGTGGCTGATGAGGTTTTGTCCCCCCCCCAAAAAAACTACAAAAATTCCTGAATTCCAGAGCTTCTTCATTCTCAGCTCTTGCCAGGACAGAGTTGGCCTGGCTCATTTGGAAGACTTTCCTTTGCTTAGGAAAGGCATTCCCACCCAAAAGGATGCTGAGTGACTCAGGTGGGTGGCAGACAGAGAAAAGCTAGAGCCCTTCCAAGCTGCAGCTGGGAACTCCAGTCCACAGTTGCCCCAAAATCTGGAAGGCTCCACCCAATTTGCAAGACCAAGAGGGCACAACACTTACCTTGAAGTGCCAGCATTAAGCAAACGGCCACGGAAATCGCCAACTTGGCAGTCATGTTCTGGTGCAGTCGGGGTGGGTCCTTTGCCAGCAGAAGGTGCCCAGCCCAGGATGCCCTCTTGGGCACCGGACAAGCTGCAAAGGTGGCAACCTCGCTGGCTGGGGTGGCAATCGTCCAGAGCAGAGGGTGTCGGAGCTTGGCTGGGGAAAAAAAAGGGATCCTTTCCTTTTTTTCCCCGATGCTGCCAAAATCGCCTCGGTCCTTCCTTCTAAGTCTCCCGCGCTCTCCCCCGCGGGGCTGAGGGTCGGCAAGAAGGGAACTTGGAAGTTGGCAGAACCGGCGGGGCTAGCAGGTGTTCCTGGGGCAGGAGAAGGCAGCCCACGCCCGGACTGGCTCAGGGCGGGATGGGGAGGCAGGGAGGTCGGGAGCAAGGAAGGGCCGGAGCCGCGGCGCCAACTTCTCAGCAACTCGCCAAAGTCTCCGGAGTGGGGTTTTAAGCGGGGCGGGGGCGGGCAGCGGAGGAGTCGCAAGGCTGGCCGAGGCGCCCGGGGTCTGCGGTGCCTCCCGAGGGCTGGGGCTGGTCCAAGGGAGACCGGGGACCGTCATTTCCCCCTTGCCCCCTCCCAGGCGGAATTGCCTTTCCCCGGGATGTTGGAGGCGCACTTGGAATGCTTGAGAGGGGAAGCGAAGGAGGCGGGCGAGACGTCAGCAGCCAAAGTCCCAGAGACCCCCCCCCCCCCCCCCCCGACTTTTCTTCGGGCCGCCAAGAAGCCCCGCGGCTACTTTCCGTCGCTTGCCTTGCGGCCACTTCGCCCTGCCTCGCCAAGGCATTCGCACGGCCGGCCGCACGCGGGCAAGCCAGCTTTTGCCCGGGTTTGACTGCCGGTCCCCGAAGAGGGGAGGAGGAGGAGGAGGAGGCAATGCGGTCTAGCGGGTAGGGCTTCGGAAGAAACTGGTAAAGTCTCTTTCTAGAACATAGAATAACAAGAGTTCAAAGCACAAGCAGGAGAGTCTACAGGTGGTCCTCGATTTTTTTTTTTTTAATTTGATTTATATGCCGCCCTTCTCCGGAGACTCAGGGAGGCTTACAATGCGTTAAGCAATAGCCTTCATCCTTTTGTATATTTATACAAAGTCATCTTATTGCCCCCACAATCCGGGTCCTCATTTTACCTACCTTAGAAAGGATGGAAGGCTGAGTCAACCTTGAGCCTTGGAGAGATTCGAACCTGCAGTAAATTGCAGGCAGCTGTGTTAATAACAGGGTGCTTTAAACCACTGTAGTACCAAGGCTCTTTACAACAGTTAATTTATTTATTTATTTTATTTATTTATTTTTCATATTTGTATACTGCCCTACTCCCGAAGGACTCAGGGCGGTGAACAGCCATAATAAATACAAAGACATATAGAAGTTTGTATTTCACTTAGTGACCTTTCAAAGTTACCGCGGCACTGGAAAAAAGTGACTTATGACCGTTTTTCACACTTATGACCGTGGCAGCATCCCCATGGTCACGTGATTGACAAGTGGTTCACATTTATGACGGTGGCAGTGTCCAGGAATCACGTGATCCCCTTTTTGCGACCTTCTGACAAGCAAAGTCAATGGGGAAGCCAGATTCGCTTAACAACCATGTTACTAACAACTGAAATTTAAAAATATTTATGAAGAGATCTCTTGGGAACAGATCTTTATTTTCAGATTTCTCTAGACAATGTATATGATAGTGAGTGTAAGTGTGTTTTGAGGGGATGAAGTAGGTACTTCGTAGCAGGGAATTAAATCCCAGCAGCTCAGCTTGAATGGGATTTTCTCTGAGTGTCCACAGGGAGAGAGTCAAATAAGCAAAGATGTCTATCACAACTCAACAACTGAAATCCTTCCCCTTTTGATATCTGTTGCTGTGCAGATAAAATGAGGGCAGAGCTTCAATGACTCTGCCCCCCCCCATCTTCACTCTTTAAAAATGAACATTGATGACACCCCTGAGTTTTTCATCTGCTGATTTATAGAAGTAGACTGCCTTTTCCCCAAAGAACTCAAGTTGGAGTCAGCGGCTTCTTCACCAGGTTTTATCCTACTAAGAACCATGGGTGGGTGGATGGGTGGATGGATACTGTAGGTAGAGAAAGATTATACACAAGATATAGGTAGATAGAAGATACATGATAGATGATAGAATACATGATGGATGGATGGATGGATAGATAGATAGATAGATAGATAGATGATAGATAGATAGATAGATAGATAGATAGATAGATAGATAGATAGATAGGCAATGATAGACAGACAATGATAGATAGACAGACAGACAGATAGACAATGATAGATAGATAGATAGATAGATAGATAGATAGATAGATAGATAGATAGATAGGCAGGCAGGCAGGCAGGCAGGCAGGCAGGATAGAGGTAGATAGAATAGAAGATAAATAGCTAAATCTAGATAAATAGATGTTAAGATAGAATAGAAGATAGAATAGAGGGGTAGGGAGTTAGAGAAACAGAGACAGATATAGATGATACAGAAGAGATAGATAGATAGATAGATAGATAGATAGATAGATAGATAGATAGACAGACAGACAGACAGACAGACGAGGTATCTATTTATAGGTAAATAGATGATTGATAGAGAAAGACAGACAGACAGACGATAGATAGGTAAATAGATGATAAGTAGATAGATTTTAGTAGATAGATAGATAGACAGACAGACAGACCGTGTGTGTGTGTGAGAGAGAGAGAGAGAGAGCTGTTATTATATTCCATCACAAATTTTATTGCTATACAGAGCAATGAAGGACTGAATTTCATCAAGGAAAAAAAGGATAAAATAGAAAAGAATAGAAAAGAATTTTATTTATCAATGTAAGATAAATGGAAATATTTATAAGTGTGACATTCAACATCATGTTGGCAAGTCAATAAGATGCATCTTCCTCTCTCTGGCAAAGTTTCCTGAACTGTAAATAACTGGGGGCTTTTCTTTTTTCCACACCATTCTTCCCTTTTGTGGCCCCCAAATCTATAAAATAGAATATCAGCATTATTGCAGGGCAGGTTTACCAAAACCACCAACCGAATGAACCTCTAAATTGTCATTCTGGGGAAAGAGAACTTGCCTAACATGTAAGATCTCACTTCCATTTCTCCACAGATCAGTGCCTGGATGTTATATTACCTTTGTTGCAACACCTCCCAGGAAAGACAAAAGAAGGTGATGTCAATTTTCCACTCTCAAATCATGCTTTCCCCAACACAGTTGCCAACTTTGTGCGACTGTAGTGAAAACAGGGCAACGATTATTCATTTAGGAAAGTTATATTGCTAATCTACTTTTTACAGGATAATCCTAGGTGACTCATGGCAACTTTCCATAAAAAAAACAAAAAACCCCGCATATAACTCTCCAAGGACAAGCTATTCCAGAGAGAGGGGGTGTCCAGAGAAGGCTCTCTTTTTAGACCCCAACATTTGGACTTCTTTAATCAATGGGGTACAAAATATGTGCTCCCTGCTTGACCAGGAGGGATGAGTTGATGAAATCAGGATCAGATGGTAACCTGGTCCCATGCCATGAATAACAGAGTTGGAAGGGACCTTGGAGGTCCTCTAGTCAAACCCCCTGTTCAGGCAGGAAACCCTATACCATTTTAGACAAATGGTTGTCCAATCTCTTCTTAAAAACTTCCAGTGTTGGAGCACCCACAACTTTTGGAGGCAAGTCGTTCCACTGGTTAATTGTTGTTGCTGTAGGAAATTTCTCCTTAGTTCTAGGTTGCTTCTCTCCTTGATTAGTTTCCATCCATCGTTTCTTGTCTTGCCTTTTGATGCTTTGGAAAATAGGTTGGTCCCCTCTTCTTTGTAGCAGTCCTTCAAATATTGGAACACTGCTATCATGTTGCCCCTAGACTAAACTAGCCATACCCAATTCTTGCAACTGTTCTTTCTATATTTTAGCCTCCAGTTCCCTAATCATCTTTGTTGTTCTTTTCTGCACTCTTTTTTATAATATGGTGACCAAAATTGGACACAGTATTCTAAGTGTGGTCTTACTAAAGCTTTATAAAGCAGTGCTAGTAAGGTACTTTAAAGGTGGTAACCAACACCTTGAACTGGACTCAAATACACGCTGGCACTCAAAGTAATTCACATTGCAGAGATGTTTTATGTGCAACTCTAGAATCACCCAAAACTGTAAATAACTACCAGAAAATAAGGCCTAAGGGCTCTATTTTCATGGGAAGAAATGTAAAATGTGATCACTGGCTGAATTAGTTAAGTCACATCTATCAGTACATCAAAAGCAGAGAAGCAGTAGAGGGTAGCATCAGTGGTGGGTTCCTCCTGGTTCCGCCCGGTTCCGCCGAGCCGGTAGTGGTGACGATATGACATCACCGAACCGGTTCTGCTCCCCTGCCCCCGCGTTATTCTTACCTTTTATTTGGCCCCACCCCCAATCTATTGCTGCCTCCTGAGTCCCAGCTGATCAGCCAGAAGGAAAAACTGTTTAAACTCTTGCCGCGGGGCTTCAAAGGGCCGCCCTACAGCTGATCAGTGGTAAAAGGCAGTTTGGTGGTAGATCGGTGCCTGCAAAAATAAATGGGTAGATCGGTACAGCTCTGCAAGCAGTTAAAAGGCTGGTAGACCAGTACTTCTGCTAAATCCTAAAGAATTGTCACATGACCATCAAGCCACACCCACAAAATAAGCCACGTCCACAGAACCGGTAGAAAAATTTTTTAGAAACCACTCCTGGGTAGCATGGCTCAAAACTGCCTGGTGGTGTACAAATCACATTTTCCAGTGGTTGATTAACAAACCTGGTTGTGCATTCACACTACTTAGTAAGCTTAGTTAATGTCAACCATGGCTAGCCTTGTTTGGTTTGGGTTGTACAGAGTCTTGAACAAACTCAGATCATTTGTTATGTTTCTGAGCAAACATATTCAGCACAGTAAGCCAGTGGAGGGTGCTGTGTGCGTGATTTAGTGCACAGGTGGGTGCAATTTAATGCCCCTTTTTTGAAAATACCCAGCTTTGTGGTCAGTGTTAAAAACTAGAACTGACTTAATTCTGATTCAACTTGCTTCTGTCTTTTATTTCTTTACTTTAAGTCTGTCCTTTACACAAGGAGAACTCAAATTTTGTTTCTCCCAATCCACCTATTCAAAGTGTTATATAGGTAGTCCTCAACTTACGACCACAATTGAACCCAACTTGTCTGTTGCTAAGCAAGACGTTTGTTAAGTGAATTCATTTTCCTTGCCACAGTTGTTAAGTGAATCCCTCCAATTGTTAAGTTAGTAGCCCAGTTGTTCAGTGAATCTGGCTTCCCCATGGACTTTGCTTGTGAGAAGGTTGCAAAAGGGGATCACGTGACCCCAGGACACTGCAACCGTCAGTTGCCAAGCGTCTGAATTTTGATCACATAGCCATGGGATTGCTGCAATGGTTGTAAATGTGAAAAATGGTCATAAGTCACTTTTTTCAGTGCCGATGTAATTTCGAACAGTCACTAAACAAAATATATTGTAAGTCAAGGACTATCTGTACTAGTCCTCC